GGGGGGTGTCGGAGCCGCTGTGACAGAACGGACGAGCAGTGAGGGGAGAGAGAGGCGCCGGCTGTCAGATCCTGGCCGAGCGTCTCTCTCTCTCCTCACCGCTCTGCATTAGTTCTGTGACAGTGTCTCCGTCCTCCCCAGCCGCCGGTTCCTTCACTTCTTCTCTGATCCCCGCTCCAGAGAAGCGGCGGGAGGAGAGGACACAGAGATCTACCAGTGATCGCTATGCGCTCGACTGGTAGATCGCGATCGACCTTGTGGGCACCCCTGATCTATGACATGGAGAGTACAGGTGGCCCATTCACCAATAGCAGATGAAACAATCAAAATGAGGAGACCTTGGTTAGGATAACTAATAAGAAATCGTCAATCCTGCAAGACCTGGCGTCTTCATCAGGAATAAACTATTGGCAAAGTAAAAAGAAAAAGACTCAGAATGTCAAGCAGAACTCCAGATTGAAAGATTTTTCAGTTTGGAGATTTTCCCCGCAGTACTTCTGGGACTAATATGGTGGACAGTATTCAACCCAGTTCCTCTATGCCCAGCCTGTGACTGGACAGTGAAGGAAGCAGAGAAGCAGCACAATGATGAGCTCATCTCTCTGTCTCCTCATATCAGCATGCTTGCCCTCTGTACATGAACTGATTTGCTCTTTGTGCCACTACTTCCTCTCACACTCCAGCCCTGCTGTACACGTTGGCTAATACTTACACTGCTTGCATTTTAAAAAATAGATGTAATTATGTATTAATGATTACAGAGCTGCAATAATTTGTATTATTTATTAGTCTAGAGTGCAGCTTTAATGTATCCTTTTGATCCCCCCTTCAGCCCACCGGGCACTTCCCTGCATAGCAGTTCAGAGACAACACCGTTTTCAAACATTCAACATCATTTAATGTATACAAATCTTGAGATTGCATAGAAAGATTTTCAAAATTCTTTTTCCAAAATTTCAATTTTTGAGGTTTCCGTGAAAAATATACAGAATCTGTTACAGGAACAATGTACAGCTTATAATCCCATCTCTTGCCTATTTTTGTAAAAACACCAGCAATTTGCAAAAAGGGAAACGCGTCTTTTTACCAAAGGAAACTCAGGCCTCTTACACTGGCTGCGAATGCTTTAATTACTATTAAAAAATAAAATAAAAAGTAGGTTACATAACTGTGGTTTTTCAAACCCCAACATCTCCAGCAAAAGATAAGGGATGAAAATAAGAACAAAGGGCATTAGAAAACAGATACAGAAGAAATCTATACTGAAAGTGTTTGTTAGACCCAAACTACAAACAGTGGGCGTAATGGAGACCACTCTCTGTAAGACGTGATCACAGGTCATCTTGAGAGTGACACTTTGTCTTCTAGAAGTCTCTTCTTTAGTGTCTCTTGAGGTGTAGCAGAAAGTGGAAAGCAGCACCTGTTCAGTTTTTATTGTGTCATAGCGCCCTGGAGTTTGTACTTGAAGTGGTACAAATCCTTTTTCCCTGTATCATCCCTCTCCTCTCAGCGGAGACTGTAAGAGTTCACACTGTAGAAGAGGACCGTGCAAGCATTAGCTGCTTATGCTGGTAAGCTCAGCTTCTTCCCCTTCAGAACTGAAAATGATAAAGAAAAAAAAAAAAAAAGAGATAGCTTAAATTCTATCAGCCACATTCACCTTCTTCTATATCATTGTATACACAAGAGAATGTTAAGGTACGCTTTGTGTTAACACTACATATATATCATCTTCTACACAAGGGAGTGTTAAGGTGCAGTCTATGTTAACCCTTATCTTAAAAAGGCACCTTTAGAAATGTTTAACAATGACAATCTACAAACTGATACTTCTAGGTAATGACAGGCTTTGTATTCTTGGCATATTCTTTACTTTACCTTGTATTTATTTTCCTCCCAAATCTCAAAGTAGCCATTTTTACTGAGGGAAGATTAATCCATCTCCCTTTACTTCCTGGAACAACGGCACATGTGACTAGGACATGTGACCATGCACATCTCAGGGAAGGAAAAAATGCCTTTCCCTGAAATCTCACAAGATTTTGCAGTTTACAGATGAGATTTCCCAGCAATGCACTGCTGGTGTAACCTTCCCAGGATGCATCTCTTAGGAATGGGCTACATCACTAATGCCTAAGAGGACCATGAAGTGGAAAAACTGTAATTGTAAGTAAAAGAAAAATATGTTTATTTAGCGAATGGATGTAAGATGCTGATGTGATTTTAGTGAAAGGGGGTAAAGATCTGCTTTAATACTAAATATAACATCTTCTACACAAGAGAAGAGAGAATTATGGGGAGAGTGAAATGTACTCATTCCCATAATTAGAGCCAACGTGTGACACTGCAGCTGTCACACGTCGGCTCTATAGTCCGAGAACTGAGCGTTCACAAACCGCTGACCGATCAGTTCACAATCTCCTCCCTGCAGTGAGTGGTGACTGTCCGTCACTGCTCCCCACAGGGATTGCCCCCTCTTCATTCCTCCATCGCTGACTGGAGGGACAGATGGAGGAGGGGGCAAAAGAGAACTAACCCCAAAAAAGGTTTGGCCATAGCTCTCTTTTAAAGTGCAATCCATGTCAATACTACACATATCATCTTTCACACATGAGGGTGTTAAGAGGTGCAGTCTGTGTTAATACCACATATGTCATCTTCTATACAATATAGTTGTTGACCTCCTTTAAAAGCTGTTCTGATCAGGTCCACTTGTCGGTTTTTTAGGTGGATCTGATTGGAAGCACCATGTTAGTCTGTGGGCTGGCGGATGAAAAGAGACATACGTCTGTTTACATGCGATCATCACCGAGTCCAACATCCGTTCTGTTCCGATTCAGCTGGGGATCTGTTCACAGATTTCCTACTGATTGGAACAGATGTCCCCCCGTGTGAAAGGGTCCTTGAGGTATAGTTTAAGTTAATACAACACTTACCATCTTCCACACAAGTGAGCGTTAAGGTGCAATTGTTTACATAGTAGTTCATATACATATGACCTGCACATATAATTTGTTCCATGGCAGCCACCATATGTAGAGTAAGTTGATAATTGTGTGAATACAAATCAGAAACAGTTTGGCTTACACAGTCAAGTCCCCTAAAGATCCAGCAGTTCTACATCCAAGTCAAACATGTAGATGATGCAGACCACAAGTCTCAATTCACTAGGAGTTATGGAGGAGTTATTTTAACACTAGTGTATTTGAGCCCATGATAATTGCCTTCTAAAAACATTCATTTGACAAAAATAAATACTACTTCAGTGTATAAAATATATATTTTGCTGCATGACATGGCCACTTTTAAAAGTCTTATTTTCTCCTAAATATTTTTTTATCTCATAAAACCTTATTCTAGAACCACCTCAAACTACTTCTTTCCTCAACAGACACCTATTGAAAGTCCCGGTTATCTTCGGCCTGAGGCTTGTGTTATTTTAGGGAGCGATAACCTGTGCTGCAATCCTTGTGAATTGCTTTTTACCTTGATATTATCATAATGGCTGCTAAAAGAAGACTGACCATGTTATACTGGCACTAGAAACAGTTAACACGCCACTACGTACATAGCAGGCTGTATAATGCGTCTTATTCAACTGTCAATGAAGTGTTCAGAGGTATGCAAGGTGTGCCATCAGGAAAATAATGGGCAGCTTTGTGAATTGAGTTTAATGTCTGTTAATGGCCTACCCGGGGTTAGACGAAGGATAACAACAACTGGGCAGACACATACCAACTGGCACATTCAGTAAGTTCACAGAGCAATGATGACATGTTGTGTACAGTAATCTGCAGAAACCAATATATTTCCTGCTTACGAAATCCCATCATTTGTTTCTATTAGTCAAAGCACTTGGTGCACTGAACTCAGCTACCTGTCTTAAGCTGGCCACACACAGCTCCAATTTCCTGCCGAGCAGTGTGTGGTCTTCATTGGCGCCCCTCCATTTCACAAAAGTCAATTTTTCAATCCACTTTTGTCGAAGGAACCGGTCTAAAAATTATCATCTGGACAGGACTCCAGCCAATCAGCTGCAATTACTGTTCAAGTATTGTGACAACAGCACACCCACTGCTTTCAGAACACAATAGTTTAGCTTGGATGGGGAAATCAAGCTTTATTTCCTCGCCAGTGGCGCTGAAATAGAAAAAAAATGAAAAGTGTATGTCCAGCCTTACATTTCTATGCACACAATCATAATAAAGCCCAACTCTGCTTTTTTATGTCCGCCAGCAGGTGTTAAAATAAAGAATCAGCTCTTCTTCCCTCACCAGCAATGTCCATCACAGTAATCACATTTGCCACTAGAGGTCTTCAGTCATTCAGGTCACACCAAAGACTGAGGACATTCTGTGTCCCCTGCATACAGAACGGTTCCCTGCATACAGAATGTAATGATGCAGAGAGTGGCGATCACGCCGCCGCTTTCTACATCTTTGTTGGTGATGAGGAACGGGACCCTGCATGTCACACGAGCAATCTAAAGACATCTAGAAAAGGTTAGAATAAAGAAAAAAATACTGCCTGGGGGACTTTCAGAGGGGGAGGCAAGAGCGCTGTGGGGGAAGAGAGTGCTCAGAGAGTCTGGATTTGGGCTTTAAAGAACTTCGGGAAAAATAAAACAAAACCCTTGCAGTGGGGCTACCCCCGCCCTGCAAGCGTTAGGTGCTGATTTTGCCTAGGGGGCTCAAATAAAGCAGATTTACTTACCTGATCCTCTGTCCCACTGGTTCTCTCCAGGCTGATAGGCCAGTCTACACAACATCTTCTCCTCTCGGCTCTGATGGTCTAAGGACCGCTGAAACCAATAACATCTTATGCAGGTCCATTGACCTACATTAAATGTAATGGATGCTGAGGGACATTGCATAGTCAGAGCGTAGTGGAAGAGAAGTGAGTGCCGATCTCTTCTTGAAGAATTTGTTAAGGCTTACAAAGTGGAAGAATACAGTGAACGTATTGCTTCCCTTCTATGAAGGTCTCATACAACTGAAATCTATCTTGACTACAGCTACTAGGATACTCATGCTCAAAGTAAAGCCCACCAAGAGCTATTACCATATTCCATTTATATTATCACTATTCTCTGCCAAGGACTACTCTCTAATTTCGGGTAGCCATGGACTACATGATACTTTACCCCTCTCCTGGTCCAGCCATCACATGATATAAAATGGTCTGTTTCCCACAGTAAGCAGTGAGATTCTTCCCTTCATTTTCTAACCTGCTGTGTTATTAATACTGTGCTACACAGTGATGTGACATGGACCTAGGACGCAATGATAGTGTACTTATTCTCTACATATCTTACCTTTGGTAATATATAGATAAAAGAAGTCACAATACAGGATGGTCTGCACAAGTCCAGCCACAATTGCAATCAGATCAAAGAATCCCTCAGACTGGTAGCGCCAGATCCAGTTGAAGAGATATAGAGTACGGTATATTCCCAAAGCAAAGAGATAATGGCTAGTTATGGTCTCGGCCTCCCCAGTCTTGCTGACCATGAACAGCTGTGGCAGGATAGCAACAGACTCCAGATAAATGGAAAAAGTCCACAAGATCTGCAAAATAAATCACAAAACGACAGCCTCACTTCATGGATTAAAGTGGTATACAGCAAATACATTCATATGGGGCCCCATATATGAAATAGGACTGTCTGTATTACACATGGTAATGAAGTCCTAGTCTCAGTTCTTACCAGGGATACTGCAGTTCCTTCCATGTACGCAATAGTGTCCACTCAGACTTTCTCCCACAGTTTAAAAAGCACATGAGTATGCTTATTTTCCTTCTAATATGGTCATCAGCATGTGTGTACTTGTTTGACTGTTGTAGAGACATTAAACTGTACACTTACAGTGAAGGAAGCAGTATATGGAGGAAAGAATTGACAAATAATGCCACCGCAAGAGTCAACTCTGGATGCCCGCATGTCAGATGCCTTGAATGCCACCCCTATCTACGGTAGTATGGGAACATGGGCCCAGCTTGCTAAGCCAAGGGCCTGGTCCTGTCCCCTTTACTTCATATACCTAGCTACTGGTCCATTACTGTTATGGGCAGCCTGATCAGTCAATGGTGGAGGTAGGTGGTGTTCGACTTTAGAACGTTGGGCTGGTATTGACTTAACAAGCAATCATGCGATTCAGGACACCTGGACAACTAAAGAGCAAAGGAGTACCTGATATGCAAGCACCTAGAGAAACCTGCTGTGTAATGCCAACAGTGATTTAGGTAATTATATGTCACTGTATAGCATTGCTTTACTTTAAGAAGCTGAAAGGGCACTGGACTCATAGGCTTCCATACTGACAACCCAGGTCTGGAAGAACACTTTAACATTTTCCCTTACCTCTAGAGGAGTGAAGTCATGGTTGACGAGAAAAGCCAAGATGGCAGTCGGGACAATGAGGAACTCCACACGAAAGGTGTCATGGTTCCCATCATATGTGGCTTTGAATTTGCTGTAGATCATCCACACGGTGGCATAAGCACTTCCAACATATACAAGCTGAAAAAACAAACAGGAAAAATTGTAATAGACATATACTAAAGTTTCTTACAGGGAATGTCTGCTCTGATGGGAGGATGGGGAAAATACATGGGTAGGCTTCTGGAAAGGTTGAGGACTCAGGGCAGGCATCATCAGTATGGGGATTCTTTAGTACTCAAAAACATATATTATCAGCTGCAAGGCAGGTCAGTGGGACAGAGCATGCAAATATCCACCTGTGCTTTGCACCTATACAGCTCACCTGGCATAGGGCTTTCCATTTGAATTCCTTTACAACTTTTCTAAGCTAGTAGAGCAATAGAAGATGCATTAGAGAGGAGATTGCATTCCCTTTAAAGAGGAACTGAACTCTGAAGGATGTGCCAAAAAAAATAAAAAATGAGAAGAGAGTCAAATGACAATCACTGTCATTGACTATAGTTTCCCTGCACTGATCATCCCGCACCACTGACTAGCAATGCCGTGTTAAGCACTTTATATACAGTCCAGACAAGGGCCAGACAACACAGCAAGAGAATCCAAAAACGTTTAATAACAGAATTGATTCATAAATGACAAAACACAGAAAAGTCAATGCATTTTGGGGGCTCAAGGACCTCTCCCTTCTTCAGGGCTTAACCATGACAGGTAGTATTATGGACTCAAAACTGGCACAAATCACCAGAGATTCGCCAATTTGCTGATTCATCGATCTGGGCTATATACTACACAGCAAATACACATACTCCCTTGTATGTGTGACGGCCCATTTTAGTTTAGAGTGACTTCACTCATTCCAAATCTCCTGAGACAGCAGATAGAGGCAGTAGTGCCTGATATTTCACACAGCAGATATACAGCTGTAGGCACAGGAGTCGCTAGGCACACTCACATACCAGAAAGTGCACTTCTATTTTTCAGGAGAAAATTAATACAAATGGTACAGTTTCTGGGTATTGCTTAGACACAATTTTCCCTATAACATAGTAAATCTTTTGAGTTTAGTTCAACTTTAAAACATACAAATACATTTGCAAAACACTTTTTTATTTCTCTTTAAAACTGGTGTTGATCAAATTGGGCAATTTACACTCACACACCACAGAGCAAATGACAGCATTACAAAATTGCATTACTATTAGACCTTTCTGCTGCTCTTGACACAGTTGACCACTCATTCCACCTCAAAAAAACTCCACTCGCTTGGCCTCTCATGGTTCTCCTCCTACCTATCTAAGCGCGCCCCAAGTGTCACCTACAAATCTACCATTTCCTCTCCTCTTTTCATCGTAGTTCAACTTTAAAACATACAAATACATTTGCAAAACACTTTTTTATTTCTCTTTAAAACTGGTGTTGATCAAATTGGGCAATTTACACTCACACACCACAGAGCAAATGACAGCATTACAAAATTGCATTACTATTAGACCTTTCTGCTGCTCTTGACACAGTTGACCACTCATTCCACCTCAAAAAAACTCCACTCGCTTGGCCTCTCATGGTTCTCCTCCTACCTATCTAAGCGCGCCCCAAGTGTCACCTACAAATCTACCATTTCCTCTCCTCTTTTCATCGGGGTCCCCCAAGGCTCTGTCCTTGGACCCCTTCTCTTCTCCGTCTACATCTCCTCCCTTGGTCAATTGATAACCTCACATGGCTTCCAATACCATCTCTATGTGGATGACACTCAAATATATCTTTCCACTCCACAACTCACCCCCTCAGTGTCCTTGCGTGTCACTAATCTACTAACGGACATATCCGTCTGGATTTCACAACACTTCTTAAAGCTCAACCTTTCAAAAACTGAACTCATATCCCCCCCGTGCACCTTCCCTTAACTTTTCCTTTGGGATTGATAACACATCTATCCCTCTCCCCCCATGCCAAAGTCCTAGGTGTCATCCTTGACTCGGACCTCATCTTTCTTCCCCACATCCAATCACTATCCAAATCCTGCCACCTTCACCTTCGTAACATCTCCAAAATATGCCCCTTCTTCACCAATGAAACCACAAAGCTACTCATACACCCCTATGTTATCTCTCGTGCCGACTATTGCAACTCCCTCCTCATTGGCTGACCTTTACACAGCCTATTCCCCCTTCAGTCTATTATAAACGCTGCTGCTAAACTCATCCACCTAACCAACCGCTCAGTGTCTACAACCCCCCTCTGCCAATCCCTGCACTGGCTTCCAATCGGCCCTAAGGATAAAATAAAAAAAATATTAACAATCACATACAAAGCTATCCACAACTCTGCCCCAGGCTATATCTCAAACCTCCTCTCAAAGTATCACCCTAACTGTCCGCTCCGCTCCTCCCAAAACCTCCTGCTCTCTAGCTCCCTTGTCAACTCCTCTGACGCTCGCCTTCAGGACTTCCCTAGAGGTGATCCCTAAAGACTCATCTCTTCAGGGAAGCCTATTTCGCCTCAACCTAACCACTGAACTATCACTTTCTTAATCAATTCATCCCCACACAGCTACCTACTCGTGTATCACTTGCCCATTCCTTTTAGATTGTAAACCCTCATGGGCAGGGCCCTCCTTACCATTTTGTCTTGACTTGTATTGTAATTGTATTGAATTCCTTATATTGTAAAGCGGTGCACAAACTGTTGGCGTTATAAAAAGTTCCCTCATATGCCCTAAAGCCTAAGCCGTCCAGGCTGGTGCTTCACCATTACAAACTGCTAGCAGAGCCTATAAAGTAAACAACCTGGGTATATATGTGTCTATTTTTTCGTTCAACCCACGGGCTGAACGAAAAAAAAAAAAAAATAGAACACATTCCTCTAGCAGTGCTTACAAGCATGGATGGAGGAATTCCTGCTGTTTCTATTGTACGTGAATGGAGCCTGCAGCCGCTAGTCTGCAGCTGCTGCAAGCTTCATTCAGCTGCTCTATCGATCAGCATTTTCAACCTGCTCTATCGATCAGCTGATGGAGGAATGCCGGGTGGAAGGGTGCAGCCAGTGTGAACTTTGGCTGGTTCATTAAGGTTTCACCAGATAGGAGGTGAGGGAATATCTCCTACAGCAACAGACACAAATATGTTTATTTTTAGTAGAGTAGGTGATGGCCATCAGCTTGTTAATGCGGTCTGTGTCACTGTCAGTCACAGTTTTGTGTGGGCTTCGGTGAACCTAGGCAAAACTGGCCCCACACATCACTTAAAGCAAGGATGAATCTCCCCAGCAGAGGCACATACAACAATTAACCCTTCCCTACTAAATCCAAAACGTTAATTAAAAGTCCAGGGGTAGGCAACCTCAGCACTGCAGCTGTGGTGAAACTACATATTCCATCATGCCTGTATCGGTCAGTCTTGCAATGCCTCAAGGGGCTTGTATTCTTCACCACAGCCAGAGTGCTGAGGTTGCCTACCCTGATTTAATCCATTTCATTTCAAAACATGACATGCAATACATAAAATTGTCTATTACCTTCATAGAGGTGTTATAGAGGGAGATATAGTTCGTGAACAGATCTAGGTATCGAGTGGTGAATACAACAGCAAAGAGGATCTGACTTCTCCCAGAGATACCTGAAAGAAAAAAAGTAACATCATTTCCATCTTATATTATAGCCTACTATTATGTACATATATTATAATTATTATATCGAAAGAAACATCCAATCGCATATATAATAGTCTAACAAATCCTTATTATCCTCTAAGTGTAATGATTTTGCTCGATATAATATAAAGGAATAAAAATCTTTTGTACTTTGCGGATCTTACACATGAATTCGATTTGCCCTACGCAGAGTATATTTTATATTGCTGTCGGGATGAAAGCTTTTATGTGCTTTGTGGATTCCACGTAGACACGAGGTAAGAAAAAGAAGAAAACTTGACTAATGCTTTCATGTCCAAGAACATTCCTTTAATGTCTGAAATAAAATGCAACAACCTGTCCGTCAACATACATTTCAATTAAGACTCCTAGAAAATATCTTTCACTTTGTTAGTAGTGCGATCCTCTTTATCAAAGCATCGTTAGCGTTAATATCCCAGGAGCTTCCTTTCCTGCAGTTTCCTCCCCGAATACGGCCTGCGCATTTAATGGCTTGCACCGATCTTTATTCTGAGGACGTGTCTGGTATGCCTGACTGTAAGGCATAACTAATTCATAAACGCACTACTTTCACCAAGGAGTACACAGATATAATAACATGATATATGGAAAACCAACGGGCAATGATTCAAGCTGAATGCCAGGCAAACATCAGAGAGAGCTTGTTTACCTGCCAAAGGATGTACATTTTAATCCATTCAGTTCTGAGGTTTACACAACCCATCAAACAGCCAGTAGAGTGACAACACTTGGTGCTACAATAGGACAGTGAAGCAGCAGCAGGAGACTCATGAAATCATCTCTCTGCTCACTCCTTCTGTAACCTTGTTTCTTTTCAGCATATCTGCATGCAGTTCACCTGACTGGCTCTGAGTCCCGTCCTCCCTCTCCCAGTCTGAGCTCTGCCATACAGGGGATAAAAAGAGGCTGATATCAAGACAAGTTCAAGTACTTACATTGTATAAAAAACATACAGTTAATAATTTATTAGGGACAACAGAGTTGCATTATTGTGGTATTTTTTATATCTGCCTGTAGTTCAGCTTTAACGGAGAACTATGGGGTTAAGTCTTTTCCCCATAGTTCTCCTTAGGGTAACGGGAGGACACAAACTAGCGTCCTCCCGTCACCCTAGGCTCAGTATACCGCGAGCGGTATACTGAGACGCCGCCGCTGAAGCGGATCCCGACAATTATGCCGGGATTCGCCCAGCTGCGTGACTGACAGCTGGCTCTGCCTATCAGAACCTGTCACTCAAGTGGCACTCTAGTACTTCCCTTCGTTCTTCCCCTGGATGCTGCTGGGTGCCGCCATGCTGGATGTGATGTCAGCAGCCCTAGCAGAACCTGTCACTCAAGTGGCACTCTAGTATTTCCCTTCGTTCTTCCCCTGGCTGCTGCATAAAAGATTATGTAAGAAAGTGAAGGGTGAAGAAACTGGATCAGCAAAGAGAGTAATTAGACACTCATATAAGAGGAGAGGGCTATAGTGTGCAATGAAGGAGGGAGCTGTTCTAGAAAATTGACTCTTGACTCTTCCAGGAGTAGTCAAATTTTGTAGCAAGTTCACATTGCAAGTGCAAAAATAACAAACACAAAAGGAAACACAATGGAAGTAAGCATTTCAAATATTTGCGCTTGGCCCATACGGAAAAGGAAGGGGGGGGGGGAGGAGGAGGCTACTACTATACTACATATATTAACCCAATCAAAAAACAAAAAACTGAGGTCTGGCTGTTTTTGCACCAGGCATTCCTGGAGCTGCGAGTTTGAATTCCAACTTCAATGATGGTCCCTTTAATTGCCATTTATCAAAATACCTTTCTAAATACCGTGCAGCAAGCTGGAAACTTCATATCAGTTGCAGCAAGCTGGAAACTTCATATCATCAGTTGCAGCAAGCTGGAACTGATGATATTTTAGATGCCCGAGCATTTAATACAGCTTGCTTTCGCACCACACACTGTCCAAATATTGCAATAGCCGCTATGGCACATTTAGGGCTCTTGCACACGGCTGCCCGTGGCATTGTAAAGTAAAATCTGCCATATTTTCAGCGGCAGAGATCCTAAGGTGCTGAGTATATTTTTCAGGTTAGGAGTTAAAACAAACCTGACAATAAAGACTGCAGTGCCTTCATAAAGTCAGGAGGAGGGAGGAGTGCCTTGCTAAAAACTGCTTACAGGTAAAAACTCGCCATCCGTGCACTGCGCGTTATTGTCATATAACCCTGTGTAGGCTTCCACTAATGGTGGTGGAGGGGGGAAGTTTCAGCACACAATCAGGGTCATATGTTTAATTCTGGCCAGCATAAGGACTCAGCAGCAAGGCAGTCACCTGTAAAAGACGAACGCCAAGATGAACAATAGAAGTAGTCGGTATGTAAGCTGAACCGCCTGCATGAATTTAAATACAGTTTGCATACCTGACTCTGCACCACCATTACACCAGCATTTAGGCTTTGTGTACTGAATAGTCAAACTAAAGAACAAACTAAACCCACCTCTTCCTGTGCAATGCAATGCTGGGCTATACACATGCCTGGGACTAAGGGCAGATAATAGTGCTAGGCTCCCAAACACATCTGAATGGATTTAGCTACAGCCCAAAAATTACCAGTATTGTTGGCTGGCAAACAAGAATTGGTATAGTCACTCTTAGTTGACATTTAAAGAAAACAAATATTGCAGTTCTGTTTCAGTTAAATTCTTTTCACATTAGTAACCCATAATTTAACTACACTTAATTATACTTTCTCAGGCACAGCCCAAATCCAACTTTTTAACCCACACGAGGCCAGCCATCTGAGTGCTTCACTAATTCCCAGCCAGCACAGAATACATTTTTAGAAATGTCCTAAAGAATGAATAAACCTGGTTTTCCACTACAGGATCCATAAGTTCAACATAGCTGTTGGTTTCCTAAAGCTGATCTCCAGGCTAAACCCTACTGCCATCAAACACGCACACTCCCCATTTACACCAGCAAGCAGTACAAATATTTTCAATCCATCACTCCTGTAGACAGAAAATTGGGAATTTTCCCCAGGGATGTAATTGTCTTGATAACTTCCAGCGATCTCTGACCACCAGGAATAGGGTTCTGCAGGAAACACTGTCACACCCTATTGACCTGGGTGAGCTTCACAGAACTACATGCCCCAATACATTTTTAGCATATTCTACCCAGCTAACTGAGTGGATGGGCATAAGAGGTAACCAACCAGGGGATCCACTCAGTGGGCCCACCCACTACAGACAGCTCCGCCTTCTAAAAACTACAGGGGGCAGATACAAGACTGGTCAACCTAATCAAGAAGACAGAGCAAGCTGACTGGTCTTTGTTTCTGCGCAGGAGTTTTCTGTAACGAAGTACAGGTTTCATTCTCTAGGATGTAAACTATAGGACAGATGCAGCAGGGACAAAGAGCTCTGAGTGGTAGTGATGTTGAACTGTCACTATATCTGTTCTTCAGCTGTAGCAATGTTCTGCTTGGACTTTGGATGAATGTCATGTATGGCTGTGTAAATCAAGTGTAAGCATGCTTGTGTGTAGTTATGTGTGATCATAAGAAAGAGAAGAATGACGCAGAAAAAGACCAAGTGGTCCATCGAGTCTGACCTTTTTACATATTTGTCTAAATCTAGACCCACGTTTACCCCAAGTATGTCTACATTTACTAACTGATGACAGGCTCACCATCTCTGCCAAAAATGTGTTCCAAGTATCTACCACACTTTCAGTAAAATAATACTTTCTATTGTTACTTTGTCTGAGGTCAAGCCCCATGTTTTTAATCTCATCTTTATACCGTATATAGTGCCCTCCTAAACTTTATCTGCACCCTTAATGTATTTAAATATTTCATCATATCAAGTCATGTCTCCCCTTCCCTGCTTTCCTCAAGGCTGAACATATTAACTTCCTCCAATCTCTCCTAATAGGTTTCATCTCCGAGAACTTTCACCATTTTTGTTGCCCGTGTCTTAGACTCGCTAGATCTTATCGATACAAGGTCTTCAGAAGTGGACACAGTATTCTCAATGAGGTCTAACTAAAGCTTTGTATAGTGGAATCAGGACCTCCTTCCTCCTGGTGAACCCTGCCTGATGCCCCCCATAATTCTACCTGCTTTCTCCACTGCCAGGCTACACAATTTTCTTTTGCAACTCTCTAAAATGAGCACCCCCAGATGTTTTTCCATTGTAGTTCTGACCAAACACTGTACTTCTAATATTGTACTCCATGAAGGTTATTTTTCCTCAAGTGCATAATAAATTGTGAGTTGCGGTTTCCATTGAAACGTGGACACATACAGTAGGTAGATCTCTGAACAAATACAAGAAGCCAGAGGGTGATTCAAGCCCTTCAAAAAGTGCTCAGGAAACACATCAATAGGTGCCATACGCAGTACTGAGATATAAAATGAGCATAAAGATATTTTTGAAGCAGCACCGCAGGACCCTATAAAATGAATTCTATATCTGCTACAAACGACTTACCGTATATACTCGAGTATAAGCCGTCCCGAATATAAGCCGAGGTCCCTAATTTTACCAAAAAAAACTGGGAAAAAGTATTGACCCGAATATAAGCCGAGGTCCCTAATTTTACCAAAAAAAACTGGGAAAAAGTATTGACCCGAATATAAGCCGAGGGTGGGAAATGAGGAAGCTACTGGTAGATAGATACCAATAAAATTACATTAATATTTATTTAAAAGAAAAATAACCTAGCTCTGTAAGTGGAAAAGGGGGTACAGGGCTACATATCATGTACTACGGATCATTTAACCCATTCATATTAGCATAGGATAATTGTAAATCTATTGTTCAGTGCACTCTATATGTAGTATATAGTACATGTACATATAGAGTGCCTGCAACAATACATTTACAATTATACTAACATGAATGTATTAAATGATCTGTATGTAGCCCTGTACCCCCTTTTCCACTTACAGAGCT